ATCCGTGGTCTGACTCTGTCCCCCCTGGTGGACCAGCGGGCCCCTTCCTCCTCATCTCTGTTACCTGACGGCAGGTGGATCTCTGGCCTCGGCCTCTCTGTCTCCTCCTCTCTGATGGAGCCACTAAACTCGTCTGTGTTTTGTCAGGATTTTGATCACAGCTAATGGATATTAAGAGCTAGTAGCCAGATACCGTTACCAGGCTGACAAACGTTGGCTCCGCTGTTTCTTACCTCGCTCTACGCTGACTTTACGAGTTCCACCTTTTTTTAAAGTATGTTTTAAGCAAATCTCTAAGGCCTCTGTTTTCTTCCTCTCTTTTTCTCTTCTTTTTCCTTTTCTGAGCACCAGACTTCTGCTGAGCGGACATTTTGGTGCTGAAGTGCAAAATCCAAACTTCCAATAAAAGGACATCAGACGTTGATCAGGGGCCAAACCATTTAATGTTGGAGGTGGGGGTGGAGGGCAACTCCAAAGATATTAAGGACAGTTCAGACGAAAACAAATTCAAACTTCTAACTCAAATACTGCCCTGTTTCTTTCCATTAATAGCCCTTCTTTGGGGAAAAAAAATCCATAATTCAATGAGGGTCCAGTTCTGGGCCCCCCACCACTCTGGGCCCGGGACAACAGACCCGTTTGTCCCCCTATCAGCGGGCATGTATGCAAGGTATACAAAAAAAATACAAAACTACTTCAAGCAACATGGATATGAAAACATCCAAAAGAAACATCTGACAATGTCAAACTTTATAAAGTGTTTCCGTTGTGTTTCTGAATCTCAGATTTCTATATTTCAAGGTCTCTCCTTAACTCAGTCTGACAGTACACATGGACCCATTCATTTAATAACTGTCAGGGCTACAGACTTGTATGGATCAAAAAAGAAAAAGAAAACAAAACCAAAAAAGTTTAGACCTCCTTAAAGGTTCCTGGAGTCCACTCTGAGAATCACTGTTCTACAGGTTAAGTGCTGGAATACAAGCTGGTTGACTCTTGATGGTTTGAGTGATGCCCGATGGCATGTCACTATGTTCCCAGCTGTACGGAAAGCCTGCTCTGACGCTGATAGGGACCATATCGATGCATATCATCTCAGCTATGGTACTGGTCATGTCTTTGCACCGTCGGGAGGACTTTGGGTTCGGTGTTCCACGGTTATACGTCTCAACCAAAGTCTGCTGCTGCTGCGTCTTGCTGTCGTTTTTCTTCCGAGCAGTGACGGCGGAGGTGGATTGGTCAACATTGGCCTTAGCTGCCTTCAAACGCTGACTTTCATCATATTCTTTTTCATGGTTTTTCCGCAAATGATAAAAGAGGTTCGTTGTGTTTGAGTCAGTTGTAGCGACATGGCGGCGACATACTTTACAAACTACAGCGTTCTGCTCCGTGTCGCTCCTTTTAAAACCAAACCACGACCACACAACCGACGTTGATCCCCGCAGCAGCTCCTCCGTCTGCGTCTGATGCACAAGAGTTGTCCTGTCCTCCGCCACAAACACCTCCATGCTCGTTTGTCTTTTTCACAGTGGCAGCAGCGCGTGTGGGCATGCCATATGTGGAGC